TCCCTACACTTAAAGGGCTGAGGAAAATTAAAAACTAGTCATTCTCATCAGCAGACCAACTGTTGTGTTGGTCTCCCCATGACAAATTACAGACACACAAATGAGAAAAAAAAAAAACAAAACCAAACAAACTATATTCACAGAACCATAGCATGGTTTGGGTTGGAAGGGACCTTTAAAGGTCACCGACTCCAATCCCTCTGCCATAGGTAGGGACATCTTTCAGTAGACCTGGTTGCTCAAAGCCTCATCCAGCCTGGCCTTAAACACTTCCAGGGATTGGGCATCCACAATTTCTCTGGGCAATCTCTTCCTGTGTCTCACCACCCTCATCATAAATAGTTTCTTCATTATATCCAACCTAAAGCTACCCTCTTTCAGTTTAAAACCACTACCCCTTGTCCTGTCACTACAGGTTTTGGAAATGTGTCATCTTCTTTCTTATAAAGCCCCCTTTATATACTGAAAGGCTGTATATTATAATTGTAAGCTCATATTTTGTAAGCTGTATGCAGCCTCCCCATTTGAATTTTTTGGCCTTAAGTAAGGCAGAGCACAAAGTGACTTATGATATCACGGTGAACTTACTGCCTGTCTTCAAATTGTCATTATTTCGTGGCAAACTATTTCATAATGGGTATTTCATTAATTCATCTTCATCAATCACTTATTTTGTACCTTCATTTATAAAGAACACAAGTTTACTGCTTTGAAAGGAAGCCCTTGGTTGTATTATCTACTTGTTTGTTAGCAAAATGCACTTTGGAGCACTCTCTGTCTATACAAACAAACCTGTATCTCTTGTCCTCAAACATTCAACAGGCTGAGAAGCCCTATTAAATTCCCAACAGGTGCCTCAGCAAAAAGGACTGCCATCTCATCATCTGGGAAAGAAACTCCAACAGTGATGACCTTGCTACCTTTCTACTGACTCACCAGCATATCTTTTACCACACTAAGAAATATACTATGGGTACAGCAATTTTTAGGTTGTATTTCAGTTTTTCCTACAAAAGCCAAACTCTGATCCACAGCATTAGATAGTTGCTACTGGAAGACTGCCCCAGGAAGACTTACTGACACCAGATCTATAATTTCACCACCAATATTAAGCCAAAATTTAGTTACATCTGCTGAAGAAACAGAAGAGGGAAAACCTACTGTTGCTTGTCAACACAAATGGTGTTTTCCAGGTGTATACAAAATAGCCCACAATGTAAATAGGACACCCAGCTAAACAACTGTATTAACACAAATTTGAACTTTATGGAAGAGCTCATTCTTAACTTTACCAAAGTCACAATGCACTCAAAAATCTAAAAAAGTGCTAGCAATACTGAAAACATAGCTAACAGTAACAGGAAGCTAAGGTTTTAAGTGGGGGGAAAAAAACAGTAGTTTCCACAAAGAAAAAAATAAAAGCTGCTTCTCCAGAAAAAACAGTTGGTTATATAGGAATAACTGACATCTTATAGTCATTACACGTAAGAGGTAATTATTCCTATTGATAAGCTGTTTCCTACAGACATGACAAAATGTACCCTTTAGAAGACATTTAAGAGAATAAACTGACATTTATAGCTATTTGCTAACCTGAAAACCAGTGCTGAAGTGCCTGTTTAATGAGCCAACTATCCAAATACAGTAAAACTTCATAAATAATCAAGCCAGGTTTATTAAGTTTTCAAACCTATTTTCTCAGTCATAAATAATAATACAAGAAATTAGTGGCTAATACTAATTTGCAACAGAGTAGTTTCTCATAAACTTACGGCTGTTATAACAGCTCATTAAAATTGTAAGATGATACAGCTGCTTAACAGATTTTATAGCACAGAACCAACTTTTAAAAATCTCTTTCCAACGCTTAAAAATCAGAAATTAAAGTCATTCTTTTACTTAGTACTTGGCAATGTACATCATCCTTCCACAAGTAAGAGAATGCTGAAGAACAGAAAACAGCAATGAAAACTTTTTCCGCTTACGTATCTCTTAACTCTAGAGCTTTTATAACCCCTTAAGACATTACAACAACAGTTGCAAGAAAAATAATTTAACTGAATGGATCCTCACGCTCAAATTAAAACAAACAAAAAAATCCAAACCTACCTAAGTTAAAATGCACGTATAACACCTCCCCCCTCCCAATCACTCCAAACTACTGGAAGGAACTAGTGTTCACCCTTGCTGTTGCTGAAGACTGAGGCACAACTCACTGTGACAACACTAAAAATACACACAGTAAAAGTACACTAGACAGTTGCAGGGTAGTTGGGAAAAGGAAAGGAGCGTGATGAAGTTTTTATGAAAAGTAACCAGAAAGCTATTTTTAAATTACATTCCTTATACACCCAAAACAATGGGGCAATAACTGTACCTACTTTAGGCAAACGCTGTTCCCTGCTTTCTCACACTACTAGTCTATTTGCCTCAGAGGTCACATGCTAGACTTCAAGTGAGGATCCTCAAGAGGTGTACGTCTGTACAATGAGGCCCCAAGTCTTGGAAGCAGTCCTCAAGGTGATTCCCAGTCCCCAAAAAGGCAAGAGAAATGTTAGCACAGGAAGACGGAAAAAATGTTAAGGAGCATACAGGAAGTCACAGAATACTACTGCTAAGGGCTGGTACCTCATCTTATATTGTCAGCTCAGACCAAACACTGGCATGACTACCACAGTCAGACAAAAATTGAGAAGGTAAAAGCAGATTAAGAAAGTAATGTCCTGACAACAGAGCCCTGTAAACATGTACTGCACCTTGTGCTCTCTTAAACCACTGGATTCTAGAGTCTGGTGACAGACCTGCCTCCCAGCATTCATGCAAATAGAGCATTTTCAGACTTAAAAATCACTGAGAAAACTTTGAAAATAACAAAATATAATATGAAGACTCTAAACCAAGTAAGCTAAAAAAACTCCATAGTGTATTATTATTTTAAAAATTGCTCTTTCTTTAATTATTTAGGATTTTAGGATTACTTATTTAGCATTTTACACACACAGCTGCTTACTAAAGGTCTTGTAAAATTGTTGCTCTTCCAAATCAAGAACACACTTTATTTTTGTTTGAAATACAAGAATAAATTGATTGGTTAATTTCATCTTCACATCTAACAATGCCGTAGCTTTCTTTTCATTATTGGAACTTTTACATAATTAATTTTGTAGCACAATGAAAGTAACCATCCATTTGGTAGTACAAAGTATGTGTTTCTTGCATACTTTTAGCCAATTTTTTGCACTACATCATTTGATTAGATGGGATTATATAAGTGTCTGTTGAAAACACAGATACACTTGCCCTCTTAAATCAAACAGCTGAATTTTTGTCTCTTTCAAAACTCCTTTAGATAAAGGGATTTTAGAATACAAAGCTGTAAATAAAAATGCCTTTTTTACTTACATACGTAGTTTCATACAATTGAAGCACTTTGGAGCACTGCAGCAAGACTTGAAGTCATGAGACGTTATCAGTTTCTCTAAACACTAAAGTAAGTAGAGCCCAAACCACAAACAATCATAGATTTGATTCTGACAGCCTACCTAAGAACAATTAATAAAATTCCAGGTGAAGATATATTCCAGTATATCACCTCTGCTTAGGTTCGTAAGTGACATGTCTGAAGCTTCTACTAAATCTAGATGACCTACCAGAGACAAGCAAAGTATCAATAAGTGATGCTTTATCACTTTATTCATACTCCACAGGACTACCACTAAGGGTGCAGTGGTTTAAAACTTATTTCTAAACAGTAAAGTAAATGCAGCTTTGAAAAGAATCTAGATCTTAAGTCACTGCTGACTATAAATCATTATGTGGTCTTCAAGAAAAAACAAACAAACAAACCAACCAACCACACCCACCACACTAGAAAATGCAAATAACCATGCTTGGAGGCTAAAGACACACACTGCACAGAAATATTTTTCAGGGCTGAACATAAAAACTTAATTCGTTATTGGAAAGGTGTAAGTCATTTTTACATTGTTTCCTTTTGAGAACAGAAGTCATGGGGGGAAAAAAAAAAAAAATCTAGGGAGTTGGATAAAGCAGTGTCCTTTCAGTAGTTACAGAAAGACAAAAACAGCTCCATCCTTCCACTGCAGATCTCTACAGCAAATTTATCTACTGAAAGGAGAGACAAAGAAGAGGTGTCTCTTGCTGCTCTGTTTCACAGATTCTTCTGGCAACTCATAAAATTGCATGAGGACTTTGGTAGACACTTGTTTATAAATCAGAAACCTGAAATGTGGAGCTCTGGAGCTCCCAAGGACATAAAAATAAAAAAAACCAAACAAACACATCACCCCCCACAGGAAGTTCATATTCTCAGATTTCACTGGACTGTTGTGGCATATAGTCTACAATCGTCAAGAAAGGTAGAACAGCTAACTCCTACTTAGGAAGGCAACTTTAGGAAAACATAGAATTTTGATGATTAAAATATATGACCCTTAAGCCACCTTTTAGATTTTCCTTTTTTTTTTTCCTTCTTTTCTCCCCTCCCCCCCCCCCCCCCAAACGATGATTCCCTAATAGTCATTCTCACACTCTGTCAAATCCAGATTGTTTTCTTCTAGCTCTGCACACTTTGATTTCTCTAATCTGTATCGGTGGCTTTTATTTTATCCTATCTGCACCTCCAGATGAAGGAACCTTTCAGGATGGTTTGTTTGTTTTGTGGTTTGTTTTTTTTTTAATCAGCTCAGAATTAGTTGTGCAGAACTAGTATCTTCTAAATAATCAAACTCATCTTGAATGTTCTTCTGAACAGTCTTTCAATTGTACATGGAGAGAAGACAGACTGAAAGTGTAAAGTAAAATTTTAATAACTCATACTTACTTAGAGAAGGTCCGTGGAGAATTGCACAGTTGGGACAGTGATACAGATCAATGTCAACAGCATGGTGCTCCTCTACCCCAACACAGCTGGAATAATATTTTTAAAATGTTAATAAGAATGCATGCAAGATTGATTTTTCAAGTTAAAAAATAATTAAGATTTAAGTTTTTACCAGCACATGCTTAATCTACAAAATTGTAATGACATAGCAAATTATCTCAACTACTGGGTTGCCACATAAATTTTGAGTAATGATTTGTTTATCACTGAAAAGAGAATGCCATTTAAAAAAATTTTTAAAAATGAAAAACAAGACTCAAATTTCTTTAAAAATGAGTCCAAAATGTATACCATTACCCCTCAATCCCCCAAACGCTTTGATCCTAATTACAGCAGTTTATGCAAAATCAAATCGAGCAATTTTCCTTATAAAAGTTATGATTTCAAAAGAATTCCAAAGTCTATGTGCTGTCAATTTATAGATGATATGATGGACTTTTTCTTGTTTTTTCTTTTATTTCCTGCAAAAAGCACATAACTGACTCCTACTCCCCAAGACAAATCAACGAAGAACACCTTCACATTCTCCCTGAAATCTTTACACTATTAGTACCAGCTATGTTAGTTACACAAGTGACCACAGAAATCACTTTGTAGAAGCATTTTTGTTTTAAAATAGCAACCAGTATTTCAAAGAGCAGATGAGAGATGTAATGTTTTCCCAGTGCACGTTTTTTCCCAGATAAAACAAAGTGGCATTGAAGTTGAAGATCTTTATAATAGTCACGACAAAGCACCTACACTGGTGTAAATAACATATTTTTAAAGTCAAAATAAAGTACATTTTCTTAGAAATTGAAACGCTAGAGGTTAATTGGAGAAGATGTGTTTTTGCACAAAGTTCTCAAGGAAAAAAAAGAAAAAGTAATTCCCTACTTGCTGGCGGAATCGGAATCCTGGCAGAGTTCTTTCTCTCAAAAGTTCATTGACACTTACAAAATTGCTGATTTTATAATACAGAAGCAAGACTACAACACTGAACACTTAGACTAAAATCAGGTATTTATATTCAATGCATTCTAGTAACATGAGAATAGGACTCCATTCATGTAACCCGTTTCATATCAAAAGAGTAATGACTGCTTCAACACTGAAGCTTTGAAATGACCTAGCTACACAAAGTCTTTTCCTTAGCAGCCTAGTGCCAAAACTGCTGACACGCTCCAGTAAGTGTCAGTACATGCTGCCAAAACAATATACTAAACAGTCTGGCATTCAGAGCACACCAGCGAGCAAATCAAACCTGAAACTGAAGAGCATCTCTCATGTAACTATCACTGAGAAGTAGACCATTCTGAATCCTCTGAAAACAGATTCAGCTGGTTTTTCTACTTCTCCATTTGCTACATACCACATGAAATTTAGAAATTATATTGCTTTTTTATATACATACTATTTTAAAATCTAAATACAAAATTCAGCTACCACAGTTCTTCACAATTCTTGCAATATTTAGTGTCTGTTTTAAGACCACAGCTACAGGAATTGTTACTACATGAAAATTCAGCTGATGTATAAACAAGAAGCAAGGCAGAAGCAGTCTTTAAAAATGCACATCCCATTTCCTTCTGCTTGTGTTCTCTCTCTTTTTATAGAATAGATGAGTGACTCATAATCCTATGTATTATAAGAATACTGTTTTAAAATATACACTCTAAAAGCCTGAAGTGAGAAGGCTGGATTTATACATGCTCAGGAATCCCATTATTTTAGCTAAATTTTTGATTTTTGAACAGCTAAAGATACTTACGTTGAGCTGTATCATCTTGCTCAAGTTTGCATAATTATTCAATGAAACACAGTGCTTCATAGGAAAACTTCACTTGCCCTCTTTCCTTTTCCTTGGTGTTTATCTGATACATTCATCATCACGGCAATCAGATTATCTTGCTGACTAACAGTAAGAACTTTGCATCAAAGTGTAGTAAAAATATCTTCAAGCTTTGATCACTGTTTGTCATATTCTGGTTAAGAATGTTAATTTTATTGTCTCTTATAACACCTTCCCTGACTTGATTAATTCCATAACCTTTCATGAAGGCACATGGGGCTCTGTGTACAGAGATGGCAGGTGATAGTGGAATAGTATTAGAATAGCTGGAATGGCCGTTCAATAAAGAAAGCAAACATTTTCAGTCTACTATTTATGCCCTAAACTCAGCACTAACTGGAAAGGTAAAACACTAACTGGGAGATACTGGAAGTAAATCTAGTAGAATCACAGAATCGTTTAGGTTGGAAAGGATCTTTAAGATCATCAAGTCCAACCATAAACCTAGCATGGCCAAGTCCACCACTAAACCACGTCCATAAGCACCACATCTACACATCTTTTAAATGCCTGCAGAGATGGTGACTCTACCACTTCCCTGAGCAGGCTGTTCCTCAATGCTTGACAACCCTTTCGGTGAAGAAATTCTTCCTAAAAGCCAATCTAAACCTCACCTGGTACAACCTGAAGCCATTTCCTCTCGTCCCATCACTTGTTACTTGGGAAAAGAGACCGACCCCCACTTCGCTACAACCTCCTTTCAGGTAGTTGTAGAGGGTGATAAGGTCTCCCCTCAGCCTCCTTTTCTCCAGACTAAACAACCCCAGTTCCTGCAGCTGTTTCTCACCAGACTTGTGCTCCAGGCCCTTCACCAGCTTCATTGCCCTTCTCTGGACATGTTCCAGCACCTCAATGACTTTCATATAGTGAGGGGCCCAAAACTGGACACAGTATTTGAGGTGCGGTCTCACCAGTGCTGAGTACAGGGGGATGATCACTGCCCTAACCCTGATGGCCACGCTCTTTCTGATACAGGCCAGGATGCCATTGGCCTTCTTGACCACCTGGGCACACTGCTGGCTCGTATTCAGCCACCTGTCAACTAGCACCCCCAGGTCCTTTTCCGCCAGGCAGCTTTCAGCCACTTGTCCCCAAGCCTGCAGCGTTGCATGGGGTGGTTGCGACACAAGTGCAGGACTCAGCACTTGGCCTTCTTGAACCTCATACAATTGGCCTTGCCCTATCGATGCAGCCTGCCCAGATCCCTCTGCAGAGCCTTTCTACCCTCAAGCAGATCAACACTCCCACCCAACTTGGTGTCATCTACAAACTTACTGAGGATGCACTCGATCCCCTCATCCAGATCATTGATAAAGATATTAAACAGAACTGGCCCCAATACTGAGGCCTGGAGAAAACCACTTGTGACCAGCTGCCAATCAGATTTAAATCCATTCACCACCACTCTTTGGGCCCAGCCACCCAGCCAGTTTTTTACCCAGTGAAGAGTATCCCCGTCCAAGCCAAGAGCAGTCAGTTTCTCCAAGTAGTAGCAGATAACCTGGCTGATGCAAAGAGCAAATGAGGTGCCAGCACTTGCAAGAACAAGTATTGCCAAGGATGCCACAGAGCCTATCAATCACATACAGCACCATTGCAAGTCACTTTCCAGAGTCCCTTTCTCCAATGTACACAGATGAACCTGACATTGATCATTCCGGCTAGTAGCAAGCAATCAATTACTGTGGCAAGTGCAACTTCAGACCTCAAGCATCAAAGCAAGGTCATCAAGAGGTAGCAGAGAGCCTGGAAGGCGTTAGCACACTCAAACACAGTAACACTCCCAATCCACTGATGTTTTCCTGAATGAAATATCATTATTATCCTTCACCTCGCCATCCATTTGGGTTGAAATGTCATCAGTATATATCTACCTAGTTTCTGAATTGCTCATCTCCTGCAGGGAGCTGTAGACCCATACTCAGGAATGCTGAAAAGTTTACAGTATTACAAAATAAAAAAGATAATAATAAAAAACTGCAGGAGCCTATGCAAAAATATATCTCTAATTCTGTTCGTGAAGGTGGAAGGCCTGACTAGGCTCAATTTTACTTGACATGGTTCTAGAAGCACAGCAAGGTGGAAAAATTTAGTTAAAAATAGACTCCATGACATCAGTCTCAGAGTGGTCAGAGTTTCATAACTTCCCTGAGGTGTCTAGTATCAAGGCAAGGTCAGTCAGAGACAGCAGAAGGATCAGGGAAGCGCTAAGTTTTTTCACATACAAGAACATGTCCATCCCTGGCAACTGAAGAGATCCCTTGCTATTCAAAGTTTGACAAACCAATTCTCCAGACTTAAGTCTCACTAGAAGGTGAATGTTTTTGATTTAGTCTCAACTTTCCATTTGATTATTATATTTGTATCTATGTAAAAAGAGCAAGGGTAAATCAAAAGCAATTAGAAGAGGACAATCTAACATATCTGACAGATACCAACGGACCTCTGCTTTTCTGTAAAGAGAAAATAAGGCTTCTGTCACAGGGGGAAAAAAAAAAAATCCTGCAGAGGTTGTTCTCTACAGCAGTAGTGCTATTAATTTAGAATTTAAGAGATAAGTACAGATAATTTGGTATGACAGATTCAACAACTATTTCACAATTATGCTGGAAAGCCTTGTACAAGGAGTTTGCAGAAGTCCCAAACAACACAACATTGTGAAAAACTATTGGAGCCATGTCACTCACCATGCAAGCTGCTGCACCTTCCAAATCTAATACCTGCTTGCTCCCAATCCAGTCTGTCTTTTCTCTTCCCTACTTCTGACATCATCAAGCATGACCACGACATTTTCAAGATTGCTTAACTGCCTCTGTTGGTATGACTGAAAGAATCCTGGCTTAAGAAAAAAATCCAAAGCACTCTTGATTCAAGGTCTTATTTTCAGTGTCCTTAAAGGGACAGGACTACTTGAAAAGTTCTTTTATCTTATTTAAAAAAGTAGTGTATATACTCTACCATTATATAAAATTCCAAGTATAAAAGGGAATGATTACACACATAGCACTACAAAAGTCAAGATATGAGTAAAGTTTGGATGCCCATTTTCCAAATTTAATTGTCACAGCTGAAAAGACTAACAGGCCAGATTATCAACGGTCAGCAAGATACTCCTACTAGGAAATTTCTGAGATTTCCTGTATACTAGACATACTGAAAATATAAATCTTGAAAACTGACAGATGTATTCTATTCTCGATGA